AGAGCATGCTCTAGTGACAAAGCATCACCGTCAGGCAGTGTGGAAATATAAATTGTTTTGAGTTGACACATCTGACTTCATATCATGGAAAGTCATCTGAAGTCCTAGCTTTTAAGTGGTTTCTTGTTGTACCAGCTCAGCTTGTGTGGGTCTGAATTCCAAGAGACACATGACACAGAGACATGTGACCGTTTAAAACGTTGTTTAGTATAAACAGAGGAAGAACAACGGACACACAACTCTGCAGCTCTGTGAAGATACAATACTGCAACAATTTATATGTAGTAGTTTGCAAGAAAAATGTATACAACCTCCACCAGGGACTTTATGTTTTTGTTTGTCAGAGGGATTATGGAAAATGTAGAAGCCCAATTTCATGACAAATGCCCTTCTAGAGTTATCTTACATATTATCATGTCTTTTATTTTGTTCTTTACCCGTGTTTTTGTCCGGCCACAATTTAAAGTTAACATTTTGTGAAAATGTGCTCAGTCATTTTCTTGCAAAACGTTAGATAGGAGAGAGTTATTTCTCTTTATCTGTCGAACAACTGGCAGTTAGCTAGCTAAGAGTAGCATCTACTCCAGCCATGCAAGCAGTAGTATTTATGCTTAGCTCAGATAACTGTCTCCTGGCTGCAGCTTCACATTTAATGGACAGATATGAGAATGGTATTCACCTTCTCATCTACTGTGTATTTATTTTCAGGTTAACTCAGTCTCTTGAGAATCTGGTTTCCTATTCTGAGCGTTATCTCTGCTTTGTCGTGTAGCCTTGAAGTGTTTAATGTAAAGCCCGAAACACGATATGAGCATTTTAGGAGGCATGAGCTCTATGAATGACACTATTGTGTGCCATTATAACTAATCCAGGAGGATCCAGTGTTTAAGGACTTTTACTAATGTAAAAAAAAAAAAAGAAGTCAGGATTTCTAGCCATCGGCTATAATCTTTTGCAAATCTCTGCCCCAAATACTAAATTGCTGCAGTTTTGACATAAAAGCCTGTGTAAACGCCAAGAAAAAAGGTTTTTATGAATATGTGCTGTACTGTAAAATCTGTGTCCTCATGTGTTTCAGGTAACCTTAAGGAAGGACCCCGACAGCAATGACTTTGGCTTCAGTGTATCCGACGGGCTTCTGGAGAAAGGAGTTTTTGTCAACATGATCCGCCCCGACGGCCCAGCTGACCAGGCGGGGCTGAAACCCTTCGACCGCATTCTTCAGGTATGGATTTGAAGAAATTCAATTCAAATTGTTTTGCTTGTTAGTGAATGTTGGATCAGAATGATATCCATCCCCTGTACATATACTTTATACGTGCAAGTAAAAACGTATTCTCCATTGAACAATTGAAACATTTTGACAAATATTTCCATCTTCTAAATCAAAACTGTAATCCCTAATAACCATTAAAAAATAAATAGGTTTGTAGCACAGCCCTTTTTATAAGAAGGACACTTTATTCTTCCATTTATTGTCTCTGTTTATCTTGTGCCGTTCTATACATTTATTATTTACTGTGTGTGAAAGCAGTAAAACTGTTTCTAAACAGCTTGTCATCATCCTGCTGAAAACTACAATGAAATCTCTCACCAATATAACAAAAAGCTAATTTCCCCTAATGTCAATCTATGCCTTTTTTAGGTGAACCGAGCCAGGACCAGGGACTTGGACTGCTGTCTGACTGTACCTCTTATTATAGAGGCAAGGGCCGCCCTGGACCTGGTCATTAGCAGGAATCCTCTGGCAGCAGACCCCGGGCGGCCCGACGACTCCAACGACCGCTCACATTCACTGTTCTGCTTTCACGAGCAGCCCAGGACCAACAGCATCGCCCTGTGACCACACAGATAGACGGTAGCTTTATGAAGCACTGGGACCACACACACACACACACACACACACACACACACACACACACACTGTTGTGCACGGTACATTTATCACACGGTACCTCTCTGACACACCAACAAAGAACGGCCACTCTCACCGCCTGAAAGCATCCCTCACTCACAAAGTTACAAGTGCATGTGTTCACTTCTGCCGGATTTAGTCACTGTGTTCTCATGATGCAGTTCAGAGGAGGCTCTGGCTTCAGGCCCCCCCCCCCCCCCCCACCTCTTTCCTCTCCAGAGGCAAAGCCACATGCAGGCTTATATAACAGGAGGAGTCATAGCTTCTGACTGAGCCAGGATGTTAACACGCACGCCTCTGGAGAGTCAAACACTGCACACACACATACGCACACTTCTTATATATTTTATATCTTTTGCTCTGATTGAGCTTCACGTTTCCATTTATTATGCAATCTTTTTGTTGCACATAAAAGATGCACATGCAATTCTTTATAAAACATGCACGCACTGACACACAGGGTGTTAATGGACTCAAGGTCCAAGGCCCTTATGCTTATTTGAGTAATTTCATACACGACATGGCTGACTGCCCTTGTTTCCATTCTCTTCCCACACTGCCCGTCCCACAGAAGTGACAGGACCTCCAAATAGACTAAATGCTCCCTGGTAGTTTCCAAGGATCGTTGGCTGAATTTAAAACCTCCTTACATTTGAATACCAGGAATGCTTGTGAAGACACTCTACCCTTTCTGTTTTTCCTTGACGGTTTAATCGTTTCTGAATGGCTCCAGAGAGACTCCACTGTTCTCCACAGTTATGTACATTTAGTTGTTTTTGCTCCCGTGTTGATGACTCACCCTCACATTAACAAAAATGCTGTTTTCAGTTTCTGCACATGTTTCTTGCTCGCACTGCGTTTGCACATAAGGCACATTTTATGATTTATTTGTTGAAAATTCCCTCACTTTCACATTTCACACTCTGTGACTCTATATGTGGCATTACACCAGAATGACTTATGGGTTGGTTGGTGGACCATCACTGATGCTTCCTTAAGTGAATTACATCCTTTCCCAAAACGGAGGATGAAATGCCTTTTACATTTTCAGTGATGAATGATTTTCTTGTTCTCAGTCCACATCTGATGTTCCTCTCTGCAGTAGCTGTTTTCTCTACCGTTATCAAAAAGCATGTAAGGCATGGGTTTGTCTTTAGCAAGTATTAAAAAAAAAAACGGTATTGGAAGTTGATCTTTGTTGGAGTGCCCCCTTTTCATCATGTCTGTGTTTTTATAAAGCTTTAGTGTAACAAATCTGGCCTGCTGATCCAGCTGCCTCTGGAGATGAGAACCTGATTCGTTTGTTGGCCGATGTAAAGATGTTGTGAGATAGTTGTGATGTCCTGTTCAGAGAAGATTGAATAATCCTTGGGGCAGTGACATTTTTTTATCTGATCCAGATATTTCTTATATAAAATGACATGTTATACACAGAGGCCTATTTCTAAGGTATTTTTATTAATTTACTGTATCTTTTATTTTGCTGTATAATGTATCATCGGCATGCTTTATTTTTATTTAAAGTATATGCACACATTGAGTATCTTCATGAAAGCTGTGATACTGAATGTGGCTGCACATTGTGTGGTCAATTACAACATCTCCCTGAATAAGTCAGGAATAGTTTCAAAGTAACTTGAAATATTTATTTATTAATATGATTTGTATTTGTTTAATTTATTATAAACTAAGAAATGTATTTCTTTTTATGAGAATAAAGTTCATGAAACCATAGTTGCTCTGGTGTCTCAACAGTGTTTTGTTTATTATGGCTATCCCCACCAAGATAATGCACACTAACCCAAAAGCGTGTCAACAGTTGGGTTTAATGCAATATGTTGTGTTTATTTCAAATTATAAAGACTTTTTGTAATATTTGGCAGCTTAGGTTTAGACTGCCTGATTTAAGGTTATGTTTTTAGGACTTTAAAGCCCTATTGACCGTTTGAAAACATTCTTTGGAAACGTTAGTTAGTTAGATTACTGTCACACATTGGGTAACTAGTATTCTGTGTAAGATCAGTTTGGGACAAGGTGTCCTTTGCAAATGGGGCACAACATGTTATTGTCCATCCATGTTAAGTAAATCATATATCTGTCGCAATATTAGAGCAGGAAATAACTATCAAGCGGGGTTTCTGATCAGTTTTGAGGACATGAATGAGATATTTATTTTTTCACAACATTTGCCACACTTAATATGAGCCTGACATAGAGATGCATGTGCTCTCCCTTTGCCATAATGCATTTGGAGCCCTTGCTTCCTCCTGCACTCATGTTGACCATCCAGGTGACGTATATTGAAGTGCAAGGGGGTTCAATGACTCGAGCTTCGGCCGGACGGTTGGACACCAGAGACATGCCCAAATAAGCCAGAATCATTCCTGTGGGGGAGATGTCAATGCAGTTTCCACCTGTTCCAGGGCATTAGATTGATGGTGGGTAGGTCACCCAGAAAAATTCATGCCAAGTATCAATGAGTGGTGAGAGGTGGGGGTCAAAGGGGGCATTGGTTTTATTTGTTCAAATAAATAGTTGGTTCTTTCAGGAGTAGAATCAAATTAGTATTGACAGGTCAAAACACATGATCGTATTAATTAAAAAAATACTTGATTCATGGGTAAAAACATCCAGCGGGCACTCTAAACCAGAGGGTTAGGGTTACGCAGTGCACATTTACTTGATATTCCATGTATGTCTGAAGACATATGATATTGTGTTGAAAGGCAGTCTAAATCATCTGTGCGATGGTAGATATCCTTTGAGCAAGGAACTCCTCCAATATATGCAGTCATTTTTATGGCAAGAATAAAACATGTATTTAACACAGTGTATTCTTGCTGTGGGCTTCAGGTACCAACAATACATTAGCTGGTTCCTAGTAGAACTTTAGATACAGTGGAAAAATACAAGACTAAAGAGAAGAATGGAGTAATTGGGCATTCAGGAAGAAAAGCATTTTTGTAAATATTGGATACAAAGTAACAGTGGTGTCATGTTCAGATGGACATTTCTCCACTTTTCAGGGATGCTAATGCTGCAGATATTCATATTAAGAGAACAAAATTATTTGTATGACACAAAATCCAAAGAAAAAAATGTTTATTCGTAATCTATATAGAAATTATGCAATGTGCATCTAAAAAGGGGACAACTGTGAGACAAAAATACTTTGGTACACTTGAATCTCCGAGATTTTAACTGACAAAGCAGCACAGTACTGTGGTGGCTCCTGCACATTCTTCAGATTGTGTATTTTACAGTGCAAGATGTTGCATTATTGAACATTACTCCAAATCTGTGGTGCATTTTGAGCAAGCAGAGAATTCCATTGCTTCAATGAATATTGCACTCTGAAAAATGTAATCCAATCTTACAATGTAATCAATATTTAGAAATGTTCAGTCAAATTAATTAATCAGTGATGGTGTTCAAATGATGTACAGTATAAAATTGTTACAAAAAGGCATAAGTGATTTACAAACATTTAAGATCTATGATACAAATGCTTAAATCGAACATTATCAACTAAAATCCAGTGGTAGATCTGTAGATCGCGTCTGCTACTGTAATGAGCACAACGGGAAAAGCTAAGGATTGTTAAAAGAAAGGTTTTGACTTTTTAAAAATTGTTCTCACAGATTTGGCTAAGAATGTTTGATGTCAGATTTCTACTCTAAATGTGTCAATGTCTTAGCAAGGCTACAACTAGATACTGTATATCAAAGTTTACAATATCATAAAGTTAAAAGCTACAAATATTCCTCCTGAAATGTGTTGCAAATGCATCTCCAAATAGCTTGCAACAATATAAACAAATACTACAATAAAGGTGAAACGACATAAAGTGCAAAGAGAGGTTTCCATAAATGCACTAGGACTGACTATAGTAGTCACACAGGCTGTGTACAAATACTCTAAAAATGCCACTTTCCTCCTTACTTCCTCGGCTGTTTTTTGCTTGTTATCCTTTTTCTATTTTTGAGGGTGGACTTTCTCATAGTATTTGACCAAGGCCTTGTTTAACTTGTAGCTTAAAGGATGTCAAGCAAGATTAACTATACACTACATATTGCCATTTAACATGTTAAGGATTTCTACTCTGAGAGACAAGGGTACATTCATTTTCACTGCAGGGATGAACATTAGGATATTAAAAAAGATAGTTAGGGCTACAAAACAGTAACAATAAAGTGAGAGTGTTTAGACGTCTTTTCCCTTTTACATGGCTAATTACTCATTTAGTTTACTAAATTTAAGTGAAGTGAGAATTTTTCTTCTACTACACCGTAAAAGCTAATTCGTCATCTCTTCTCCGGAATCAAGAGAAAGGTAGTAAACATTGAACATTTTCTATCTCAAAATACTGCCTAAACTGAGATCAGTGCCAGCTACAGCAACAACAATTGTAACAACAATATTGATATAGTAAAAAAAAAATTACATGAGAAAAAAAAAAACCATAACAATAATATATAACTTTCTTCATAAAAATCAAATCAGAGTATCTCTAACGTGAATATATTGGATGATGTAAACCTACCATTATCAAGGTTAGCAAGTATGATAATAACAGAAAGCACATCAATCTTATTCCTCTCACAGAGAGCGCTCACATCATTGTTTCGACAATGGTGTGGGTGGGCTTGTTCAAGCCATTGGTCCCGTTTGCGTCCAGGGGCTGCGTCAGCTCGCTGCCCTTCACGTTGTACTCTTTCGGGCGAGAACTCACGCCTGACTTTGCCGGGGCCGCTACTGCTTTGATCCTCTGAGGAAGGAAGGAGACGAGAGATAGGACTAATGACCATCACAAACAGGGGCAGTATAATGCTCAGAATGTTATATTTAAAATGACAAACATCGCATCTGAATTTGTCCATGTTCAACATTTCAAGCCATGTTGATTTAAAATTTGACGGACATTTGGGGAGCAGGCTTCTTCATACTTTTACCAGGAATTGAGATGAAAAAAATATCTACACTTGCTAAATGTGAAGCTGCAACCGGGAGATTAGCTTAGTTTGACAGAATGACCTTAAGCAAAGGGAAACGGATAGCCAGGTTGCTAAACAACCTCATGGTAAGTTGAGACTGTTGATGTGCCGCAATAACATGCAAAGCGACAGTCATGTGACCATAAGAGGTTGCCCTCGCTTGAACTATTGCATGGAGCTAATCTGCATGTTTACTGACAGCTGACAGTTTAGGGCTTGAGAGTTGAGGTAGCAGCTAGCCGTGGCTACACATTTTCTGTATATCTACAAACTTTTGAGGGAGGATGGCTAGCTAGTTAGCTATTGTTTAGTTTGTTTCTCTCATATTTCTTTTTTCAAATGATGATTTTGTCAAAACTAATCTCAGTCAAAACAATTAACACCTAAGGCAGGTTGGTAACAAGATTTGTAGTCTTAGGGTTTTAAGTCCCATTTATGTTGAAAAATAGTGAAAACTAGCCTTTAGCTGTCTCAGTCGCTTATATGACTCTTTTACTTTGATTTTAGTACAGATGTAATAAACAGTAGTTTAATTAGTGTGCTTTAGAAATGTTGTTAGGTTAGCTTTAGAAAAACCAGGCTAGCTGTTCACGCCGTTTCCAGTTTTTAATGCTAAGCAAAGTTTCAGTATTAGGGTACAGGTACAAGAGTAATATCATCTTACTCTCAACAAGACCGCAAATAAGCAATTTTTAAAATGTTTTCCAACAATTCCTTTAAAAACACTATTTGTTGAGCTCACCTCGATCAGGGATCCCTCAGAGTTTAAGATCTTGATGACCATCACCATAGGGATGCAGATCATGGAGGACAGGGCCAAAACCCAGCCAATACCGATGGCCCAGTCAGGGTACTCGTACACCTTGTTATAGGTCAAGGGCTTGTACTTCACCAGGGAGAAGATAAAACAGCCCTGGGAAACAAAAACATACTTCTTTTAGTACAACTTGTACACCTTCTTGTGACCTTGAATCTCCAACTATCAACATGTCATCAACAATATCTTCATTCGACACAATCAAGTGAAACTTAAAAAGCTGTCGCTCATCTCTCACCATGCAGAGGACAGGTGTGATATAAGACCAGCTCCATTTCATCCATGAGTTTGGTCTGTAGCCGATCATATCTTCAATTGCATCGTAGAAATTATCAACTCCTATCCAACCAAAGGGAACACAGAATACCATGAGTGCCAGCTTACATACTGGTATACACAAATCCAAAACATATCGACTTGAGTAATTATTTCATGCAAAAATGGCAGAAAAAGTTTGTTACTTTTCATAAACTGTAAACGTAAAATCTTTGGGTTTTGGACTAACAGAACAAGGCGATTACTTTTTTTAGGATGGAAATCTTTCACAATGTTCTGACATTTTATAGACCAAATGATGAATCGAGTAAATAATAAAAATGCAAGTCGCTGAAAAAAAAAAATGGGAGATGTAGCCCTAACCTAACCTGTAGTTCCCCTTAAGTTACTGAACATTGTACAAGTAATACCATGTGTCTGTACTATTCCAGAGATATTTTTGTTATCGCAGACTGACCTTCATTCTACCCCTTATCTCTGCCGTCTGCCCTTAGCTGCAGCATTTATATTTCCACTAAGTCCTGCACCATATAACATGTATATAGTATAAACAGGCTACTAGGTCATTATTCGTCCTTCCACGTTTATTGCAGTGAACTATGTGTGCTATTGAATTTTATAGTGTGCCTGATGTTTATTATTATGCTCCTTTGTACACGTTAACAATGTGTTCTTTTGTTTTGTTTTGAGTTCCTTTTTAACATCTGGCAAGGGAATACAGACGAATGTTAGTAAGCTTCCTTTGTGGTGCCGTTATAATAGCATCTTTCGTAACAATGATAGAAAACAGCTCCCAAAAGTCACGGGTTCCCAACCTTTTTTTTTTTAACTTTGTAATATGTTGCATATGTCTACGGCACATTAATCAAAGAGTAACGCATCTGTAATCCTGGAGGCCAGGAACATTGAGGCCAAGCAATTAAGATGGATTTGATTCATGTATCTAAGGGACTATTGTTATAAGGACAGTATTTGTTTCTTAAAAAGGAAAACACTTCAGTCCGGGGATGGTACTTAGAAATGCAGAGACATTTCGAAAGGTAGGAAAGCTAAATTAAATATATTTTATGTTCCAAGCCACCTAACTCTGAGTCCTGGGGAGTTTTGGTGAAGCATACTTAGCCTCAGAGTCACAAAAGTGTACATATAGTGGCTTCACGTTTGGCCGATGCATGATTTATGGAATCAGATAGCAACACAATATCAGTAATGTGTTTATTTTTGGACAATGCAGAGTTGCTTTCATCCAAATTAGGGTTTTTACCTCATTAGGGTCTTTATTTTCTTCCCTCATTAACAATAAAAGAATGGGTCTAGAGGGAGGCAATCCTGGATAGCCAATCTTATTCTAGCAGGGGACCAACACCATCCCCAACCCCCTCACCACGCCCCTGCATGCAGTTCAAGTTTTTAAATACTGATGTGTGACGAACCACAAGGACACCTTTGTTTACGACCAAAGAGATAATTACTGCTTTTTCAGGATCATTCATTTGAAAAACGACGTTACAAAAAAACATAGTTGTGTCCACTTACCATAAACCCAGGCGACAGCAATGCATTCGAAGAATGCAACCCACAAAAGGCACACACCACTGGCTGCATAGTAGTCAAAGAGTTGAAACACATACATGCCACCCTAGAAAAAAAGAAAAGAAAGAAAAGGAAGAAAAGCAACATTAATTATCTCTCTGTTGTGTGTGAAACGAAAGAAAGTCAAAGCGATAGAAGAGGGTATAAAAGCCGAGTGGATGGGGGGTGTTAAAAGCAGTGCACAAGAATGCTGGCACACTACCAACAGAGGCAGAGTTCAACAGGTGCTGAGACGCCATTGGAGCACAGTTAACTGCTAAATGGAAAATGGCATTCCAAATTGTTCCATTCAGACATACAGGATGTGAGCTGTGAATGTGGTAGGAAGCCATATTTGGTCGTAACAATGAGGCAGTCGAGAGGCAAGTGGAAAGTCTGTGGCGTTATCTCTGCCGTTGATCCGAATACACAGACTCTCTTTTTCCTTCCTACAGGATAAGCAGTAGAAACTCCAATACAAGTGACTGTTGGTGAACTTACTTTTGTTACCATGGCGAGTCCAAAAAGATAGCTCATCAAACACATCGCAGCTATAAACATCTCCCGTCGGTAACCCTTCCTGAGGACTGCTGGATATAGATCCACAATGGAGGTGATCTGTCCTTCTACTTCAACAAACTGTGGGGACAAAAACAACTATTAAGTTCTCAGAAGTGTCTTTTTGTGTGCATGCAGCTCTTGTGTAGCCTCTGCAAACCAGTGATTAGAGAATGAAAGCTGTCTTTGTTGAGCAGTAATGATAATTTACACAGGGCTCCTCTTTGGTTTGTTGCTATCAAGATGCAACAGAAATAAAACAACAGTAAATCTCTGTTTCTGTCTCCCCATCTGTCTCCCTCTTATTCCCCTTGGCCTCATCATAAGCTACATAATGTCATAACAAAATCATGAGATTGTTCCAATTTACCAAGAACACGCTCCTTTGTTGCATGAAAACCAAACAAAAAGCCCTTACATAACAGTGGCATGTATGTGTGAGCGACGTTAACAATATATAGCATTCAGGACTGAATTAATTGTATGGTCAAGAAACACACCCACACACACAAATTGTAACTGGGAACATGTCTCACATCTTTACATGTGCTCAAATTTAGAGCGTTGGCCTGATCTCGCAGTTGGCAGAGAGAAGTAGTGGGCCATGTGCAGGACTGAGTTAGCACAGGAGTAGAATTACACTTGGAAGCAGGAAATGTGATCTGGCCAACGAATCTCTCTATTGCACACTCGTGTTTTGTCTATGTAGATTATCGTCGCAATGGTTTGCATGCAAGCTATCATAATGACTTCTACCAAGTACATGTTTGGCTTTTAACGCGTATCATCTTCTAAAACTTAATTTGTGTTACTACAGGGCTTTAAAGGGAATTTAAGCCTCATCAAGTGCGGTCGAGCGTGATAGTAAAATTCCTTTGTGGGAAAAGTCTGCTTTTCTTGTCTGACAGTTATCTGATACCTTGGAGACGTTCGATATGGATCTGAGACACTTAATGTGTTTTACACATTGTGGATGGCAGGGCACTAACGCAAGGGACCTGGAAGGGACCTAGAAGGTATCCCTCTGAAATGAAACGGGCAGTTCTTTAAGGCTGCCATGAGCGATTATTTTCATTATCGATTAATCTTTAATTTAATTTTAAAACAATGTACACACTTCTACACCAACCACTTTCTTGATTAATTGTTTGGTGTATAAGTGTAAAAAAAAAATCTATCTCAGTTTCTAAGATTCCATATCGATTTCTTTAAATGTCTTGATTTGTAAGTTCAAAACCCAATGATATTTAGTTGAATATGATATAAAGAGATAAAAGCAGGGACTATGGATATTTATGAGGCTAAAAAACAGCATTTCTGCCATTTTTTCACAACTTATCTATCATCAAATTAGTTTGCGTTAACTTTTCCGTCCACTAAACATTGCAGAGCACAGATCACCAACTAATTATTCTGGACATTGCTTGACAGGAGCCACGGTGATTGTGAAAATACTGACCTGACTGTCGAGGCCCAGAAGCAACAGCATGACAAAGAAGAGCACGGCCCAGAGGGTTGGCATCGGCATCATGGACACGGCTTTAGGGTAGGCGATAAAGGCCAGACCAGGACCTGGAGGGAAAGCATAGCGGGAATGGGGAGAAGGGGAGGAGAACAACATTAATATCTGCATTTTATTCCAGCTTGGACGACATAGGGGAATGGAAAAATGTGTGTTAAGATTGAGATAGACAGGCCGAGCATGGTCTGGCACTGCCAATAATCTAAATCTATGGTTGGCTTTATGTACTCTTGTAAACTATAAGGAAATACAATTCCCAATATAATTGTTTTTTTCATGCTTTAGTGTCCTGTACTTTTATTAATAACGTATGTATAATGATACATAGATACCTTACGTTTTGTCTCTCTTTGCACTGTAGATATTACATTACTGTTTCCTGTAATAGCCCTTCCACTGTAAATGCTATTTATAAAAAGGTCCTGTTCATACAGTACATACTGTATTATAGCTGCTTTATATTATTTATATCACATATAAGTCCATGCACTTGAGCATCTGTTTGCACTGCTAAAATGCTAATATGCATTTCTGGTACTGTGTGCAATAACATCCAACTGGAATCTAATCTAATCTAATCCCAACAAAGCACATGAGGATTTCAGCAAAACCACATACCATTACAACAGGATTCAATGAGACACAAAGTCAGCAATCACAAACTAGTGCCTCAATTGAAGAGCTGAGCAAAATGCCAGTTCTACATCAAACATATTCTTAATTTCATTTGTTTTAATATATATTGTGAATGTACACACTAACATCCCATCAAATAAATACTGTAATTTTTACTCAATTATAGTTTGAATGTACATTATATTCCAGTTTTAAAGAAAGCAAAGAGTGTAATTTGAAACTGAACAGAGCGAGCATGCTGAAAGAAGACGCATCTCCTTCAAAGTCCCCAGAGTATAAAGGAAGGCAGAAACAGAACCGGTGGCGTCCACTCGGGAGATCCACAGTTGTTAACAGTGCTGCTGGTGAGAAATATCACATCATGGTGCCAGTGCACTTAGTACATACAGTACAAATCTTCTTAGCAAAGTCCCCTGGTCAAGAAGATGTAAAGCTACTGAATGAAATGAGTGGGTTGACTGTGGGACATGAAGACACCTGGTGCCATTGAACACTTGAAGTAGTGATGAGATCTTTAACCATGCAGGTCATTGTGTAGCTAAAACACACAGCACCAATGCCATGTAATCTGTCCGCAGAAAAGGTGCAACAGATTTCACACTGAAGTAACTATTCTGTTTCTTTTCAGGCTTTTAATCAAGGAGTGTGCAATTGCCGATACCTCTACATTTCAGCATCATCGTTTCCGAGACTTGAATTAATAACTTTTTTTAAATGTGCTTGGTTTTGAGTTTCCAATTGTCTTTTTTTTGGCAACAGTGCCCACCATCACTGCTGCCATCCCCTTGGACCCTCGTACCTGACTCTGCCACATCGGCAATGTCCACCCCTTGTTCTTGTGCCATGAAGCCCAGGACGGAAAATATTGCGAAGCCAGACACAAAACTGGTACCGCTGTTGAGGCCTCCCAGCAGCAAACAGTCCCTATGTCACACATATGTCATGGAGGTTGTTAATGAACACAGGTGGAACCGAAGTTCCCATTTTCTATTCACGCAACCGTCTCTGACACAAGTTGCTGTCACTACTACAGTCCCACTCCCCCCCCCAGCGGAAACACTGCTCACCTGTAGCAGTTGTATTTGTATTTGTTGTAGCTCCCCAGGGACGTCATGGCTCCCAGGCAAATGGCGTAGGAGAAGAATATCTGGGTTCCCGCATCAATCCACACCTAACGAGACAGAAGACAAGTACGCTTTCATAATGTGATCCAATATTGATGATGTCAAACTGTGAAACAGAACCAGTCGGGTCCGCATCAGCGATTCACAGCTTGTCAACAGTGCTGCTGGTTAGGAATATCACATAAGGATGCCAGTGCATTTTCAGTATGATACATAGAGTCCAGTGCAAATCTTAAAAGCAATGTCCCCTGATAAAAAAATATTTTAAAGCTACTAAATTACATGAGCAGGTTGGCTGTGGGGCAGAAACACGTTTCTTAACACCTGTTATGAAAGTGTTTTGGAAATGTTATCATGAGCTCCATACTAGTCAGCTTATCGAAAGTGATTGCTCATATCAAGAAGGCAAACATTTTAGAGCAAATATTGATTTTTTTTTACCACATGAGATGAATAAATCTCTGTTTTTCTTATCTCCACCACAATCTTGAGTGTAAGGTGGGCCGGAGGGACAATTGATTGAAATTCCACTCTTATTTGTTTGGTGTGGGAGCGGGAGACACACCTGGCAGAGATCTGCACTCTACTGAGCGCACTTTTTACAGTTTTATCTGAAACCTCACGTACTCTATGAAGCTTGGTTAAATGTTATCCATTTAAGCTCAACTTTTGCACAGAGCACATGTGGGCTAGCCTATTGAGACATGTCGGCTTGGTTTTGTTGTTAATCCAATCACTCGTGAAAAAAATGATGTAATCGAGTTGCATAAAAAGTAAAAACAGAAAAACAGGAGAAGAGTTTTTGATCCTACCTCTGGGTCTTGTAGGCGGGTTAGGTTAGGGTAAAGGTAGAATTTGATCCCTTCAGATGCCCCAGGCAAGGTCACTCCACGCACCAACAACACAATCAGCATCACGAATGGGAAAGTTGCGGTTATGTACACCACCTAGAAAGGACAAGGAAGTATCAGCCAAAAATACTGAGCAACACTTATGACTAGTCACCCTTTAAATATAACGGTAAAGACAAAGCTTCATTTCTAGGTTCTCATTTCTAACTGAATGTCAAAAGAAACGTTGTCCATGTTGTCTGGCGAACATTTCCCTTCTTTTCCCGAAGGATTTTGACAAAGAAAAAGTAGGTAAGGTCTGGGAAAAGGACTTATTTACTGTCACCAGAAGTCATGATGAGGATTTGAGATGCCCAACAGAGCATGAAGCAGTACACTACAGAGCATAAAGGCTTCACGCTGATAAACACACAAGAGCTCCTTAATAGAGTTAATCATTTTCCTCACAGAGCTCCTCCTGTTGGCTCCCGCCCAGTTTCAGAAACACAGAGAGGGCTAAAGGAGTGGCAGTCAACTGTTTACAGCCGACAGTGAGTCTGGCCAACAAGAAACTTTCAGGACAGCGCAGTGGCTTGTGTCTCTAAATCCACCAAATTAACAACCCTCCAAGCATGTGGCTTTTCTCTGAGCAACAGTGTTTTGTCACTGATTTATCGGGGTGAAAATGCCAAACAAAAAACAGCACCATGGCAACGCAATAAGTACAGGATGTGTCTGTGTCTCAGCACTCACTTTCCCAGTGGACCTGACTCCCTTCCAGATGCAGAAGAAGCAGATAACCCACACTGCTAGGAGACACAGGGCCAGGTCCCACTTCACGGTCCCGATGTCCTCAATCCCAGAGGAGATGCTCAGGACGTTGCGTCTGCAGAGAAAACACAAGTCAGACAGACAAATGACTGTCGTTCTGTGCTGTTCTGCTGCTCTGGTCTTTGTGATGACACCAAAATGGTGAGATAGATATTTGAAAAGAGTCTTTAGGGCTTTTAGGTCTAATGCTGCATAAACACTAGTCTGTAAGAGGCATTAAGTGTGATGAATCAGATGATTTAAACGTGACTCAAAGCAAACAGGCATTTAAAAAGACATTTCACAACACATTTACTCAAGATAAGTCTTGTCAGTGTTACTTTAGTGTGTGTGTGTGTGTGTGTGTGTGTGTGTGTGTGTGTGTGTGTGTGTGTGTGTGTGTGTGTGTGTGTGTGTGTGTGTGTGTGTGTGTGTGTGTGTGTGTGTGTGTGTGTGTGTGTGTGTGTGTGTGTGTGTGTGTGTGTGTGCGTGCGTGGACTTGACTACGTGCGTGGACTTGTGTGTGTTTGTCAGGCATGCCATCAGTGAATACTCACTCCCAGAACTCAGTGACGGGGGAGGTAAAGTTGGTAATGTTGGCTGCTAGCCAATAGGTCTTGTTCTTGCGGACCGTGTCCTCCACACAGAATTCTGTGTTCCAGGGCTGCTTGCATTTCGCCCAGGGGAGCTCCGGCTGAAAGCTGTGAAACAGGTAGTACAGTCCCCAGGCCAAGATCACGATGTAGTAGATGTTCAGTAGAGATACAATCACGACAGAGGCATAGCCAATACCTGCAGAAAGGAAGAAAAGAAAGCAGATTTTAGATAGAGATAGATTAAATACAGTTATGATTTAGATTTGTGTTGATGCATTCGATATGTTTCTGGTCACCATATTATGTAAGTCTGATATTCACTGTCTTTAAGTTCTGCTTTTAGTCTCTCAGTGGGTAATATCAACAATAGAGTCAGGTGCTAGTTCTCTGTGGGTTTGTCACTGCAAGCAACTCCTTACAAACAAGTAGGGGTGTAACGGTATCCGTATTCGTCCCGTACCGTCACGGTTCGGACGTCACGGTTCGGCACATGCAGTCACACGACGAATACGCCTTTTTTTTTTACGAGTGGGAAAAAAAGTGTCATTCAGGGCAGTATCCACTACACTATTTATAATCCAGGGGGCGGTATTGCGCCTAAAAGCTGTTTGCCAGCCGCCCTTAAACAACAAATGAAGAACAAGAAGAAAGACAACAACAAAACGAACAAAATACAAGAAGAAGAAAAGTTAGTATGGCGATTTCAGATAACACACAGGAGCTAGAACCCACCTGCTTCTTTTAAATCAGCTGTGTGGGAACATTTCGGGTTCCCTGTGGACTACAACAACGATGGAGTGCGCGAGTGGTGGATCGGACGAGGACGGTGTGTCGCCGTTGTTCGATAGCGGTGCGGTATGCTAATGGTACATGCTAAATCATATCAGAAGGCATCACCCAGATTTGCCAATCACCGGAGCCCAGCAAAAGACAACAGCAGTTCAACAGCTGATCCCCGCTGTTTTTAAGAAGACAATAGACATGAAAGCCGTGAGACCAAAATAAATAACGGAAGCTTTTGGCATATGTTTTTCAACGACTATGCGCCCTTGAAACAATTTCTTATTATTTATGTATTATTTATTTTCAAGACATTCTTTTTAGTTTTACAGCTTGATGAAACCTTTTTGTTTGACATCAGCCATTATAGATAATATGGCCATCTGAGTGTGTGTGGTACTGTTTGTGGTTTGTTTTTAACTGTTTAATACAGTTAATTATTCAAAATGTCAGAGTTCCTTATTTTTAAACTGAAACTTGCACTACTGTTCAAAAATAAATAACAACAAACCTGGAATTATGCATTTGGGACTTTTTTTTGCTTTTTCTTGTTGTACCGAACCCGTACAGAACCGTGACCCCCAAACCGAGGTACGAACCGAACCGTGACTTCTGTGAACCGTTACACCCCTAAGTAGTATTGTTATCCATTGTTATAAAAATAGTGATTATAGCCGATTTACCAGCAAGCAACATTAGTGGTTTCTGGTTTTACATCTTGCCTTGCCCCTTGTCAGAAGTACAAGTGTACTTCTGACCACACCATCAGTAACTCTGGGTGTGGTCAGAGCTTCAACTTTCAAACAGAGAGGGCAGCACAGCACAGATTTTCTGCCCGGTGGGAAATAACCCTTTAAATGAAAACGTGTGTGAGGTGGAGATTGTTGCTGAACAACTTAAAAGGAATGCTTTCACAACTTACTCATTATCAAGTCAAATTAGGGAAAGCTGCCCGAACTCTGCTATCTTACTGTTATAATGTTGTTAGTGTTTTAACGCTATTTTTAAATGACTTTGCCACGAACCTGGACACAGAAATCCCAGTACTGCTCAAGAGTATTTTTAATCTCATCATCTCTGTGGCCCCCACTGCCTTGTTCCCACATACCAAACTTGAACTGATAAAGTCAACGCTGTGACAGGTGTGTGTGTGTGTGTGTGTGTGTGTGTGTGTGTGTGTGTGTGTGTGTGTGTGTGTGTGTGTGTGTGTGTGTGTGTGTGTGTGTGTGTGGACTTGACTACGTGTTGGAGTGTAGGGAGTAAAGACATGAATTTCACTGTGTGCTAAAACATGTGAAGGCGGGAAGGAAAACATTTGGAGGATTGTGGTTGGCTAGTTTTGCTGGACTTTCTCTGCTGTGCCAGACGCTGCGCCATATGGACAGACAGCCGCCTCAGCGTTCCTTGAATAGCGGAGACCATCGGCAGCTGCTAGAGATCCGGTGAGGCACAGCTTCCTCTCTCTTCATGTCATGTCCCGTGTGTGAACATGAGTAAAGGCGTCATAGCAGCTGCTGAAGGTGCGGGACCTCTGTGCTTGTCTTCAGCTGTCAATCAAAGGTTAAGGGTTGCACCCAAGAGTGCCTTAAAGTATCAGTAGCTAATTGGTGATCTCAGGTCATGGGACAGGTGAAGGAACCCGACCCTGACAACTCCCACAGACATCATACACTATAAGCTAGGAGAAAACAAGTGTATCCGCATTGTCAACAAATATTATTACGTTTTTATGCAGACTCATTGCTATTGCTTGTGTTTCTTTTGCTAGTCTGTTTCCATGGCAACTCATCAATCTACTCAGTCACAACATCTGCAATCCAACAATGACTTTATGTTTTGGAGCGCCTACTTTCATGTTCCATATCCTTGTGTTAATTTAAATAGACGTTAATGTGCATGTGTGCATGAATGTAAACATGACCGTGGATAAATCATCCTCCATAATAATCCATTTTAAGTACTCATTATTCCTGCTTTAAATGTAGTGTTTAGTGTCCTTTACATAACACAAAGCATCCTGATGAAGTAAGACTGGTCCACTTACAATGTTAGAAATGGGGAAGGACACCTTTAGAAGAACATGATGTCAACTAAGGATGAACTATTGACTAAAACAGAAAGAAAACCAGGGCAGGATTCTTGTTAGGACAAATTAAGCTTTTACTCAGCGTTAAATATTAAATGATCCCGTCAGGAAAGATTTGGCTTGGGGATGCATAGCCTCTTTTTTTCTGTCTGTGTGTGTGAGAATATGTGCAGTGTTTATGCTTGGACTGACCAGTGAAGATGGGGCAGAGCTTGGCCCAGCAGGTGATCCCTCCTTCAGACGTGTACTGGCCCAAAGCAACCTCCAGGAAGAACACAGGCAGGCCGCCCCCAAACAGGAAGATGGTGTAAGGGATGAGAAACGCTCCTGGGTAATGGGAATGAGACGTATTTCAGTAACAATTTGTGTTTTCTGCTTAACACTTTGTTTAACATTAAGTATCTTTTGCCTACCTCCACCATTTTTATAACAAAGGTAAGGAAAGCGCCAGACGTTTCCTAATCCAACAAAGCCTCCGGCCACGGACAGGACAAAGTCGAGCTTACTGTCCCACTTCTCCCTCTGAGGCGCCTTGCCTTCAGCCTCATCCTCGGCTCGCGTGCCCGGGCTCTTCCCCGGTGAAGGTTTAAGGGTGTCCTTGTGAAAGTCTTTTAAACATTGAAGCTTCTCTTTTTGTGCCATGCTGTGGACGGTAAAAAAGGAAAAGGACACGCAAGATGGAGAGAGAAAAAAAAATACAGAGAAACAGAGGTGAATTGAGGTAAGACAAATATAGGGAGGAAAATTAAGAAGATAATGCTGTCTCGTGATTGCGCTACACCGTGCTGTGTAACCACTGCATACGTGATATATTATGTTGCTAATCTTGCTTATCTGAACAACTTGCTTATCTGAACAACTGATGCAGGAAGGTCATTCAGACAAGAGAAATATTTTGTTAATTAAAGCAATTGACAAGGATTATCCAACAATGTAGAGCATACCCACTGTGTTTGTTTTTCTATCTTAATAATTTAATCAATTAATCAATACATCTATCTTTAGAAAAAACATCTTAATGCCTTAAACTGCATTGCCAAGAAATCGCACAATTGGCTAAACCACCACGGCAATAGCATGAGCACATCCACAATTTGGTTTTCATCTCATTCATGGTGTATTTTTCTGCTCAGAGGGGGGCACATTGTCCCTGAAGAAAAAGGAAGGGTATGTTTGGACACGATGCAGGACTTTAAGATCTCACCTGACCCTGAAGAAACGTTTTTTTCTTAGCTTTCTCTTGTGCTACCGTATCAGCAACGAGTAGGTCCTCCACAATCCAAATTTAGAGAAAAAGATACCCCTCTGCATTGCTAAAGCCCTGGCTGCTTTCGAGACGATACAGCGGCTTAGGTTCACTAGCGTGTTTACACTGCAAACCGCCGTTCCAAGAAACACAGGATTTAGCATCACTTGCTAAAGTATCTTATTTCCCCGCATGAGCCAAAGAAGAGAAAATAAACCCCTTAGAGAACAAGAATAATTTTGGAAGTTGTGAAGAAACTTAATGTGATTTATGATCCCAGCTATAATAAAGCACAAAAAGAGTAATTGTAACATACACAATTAAATGTAATACTTCCTCTTCTTTTAAGAAAAGAACTGAGCAATATCAAGAACTGAGCAACATCAAGTACTTCCCGTAACTTTTGCGAGACCCAAAATAAATTCAGACCATGTTGATTGTTGAAGCTCAGATAAAAGTACAAGTTGTACGAAAAACGTTCATGCTTCGAAAATATCACCCTTGAGATTTGCTCTTCATTCGTTGTTGAAAAATGGACAGCATGTCCCTTTCAGGATTGTTTACTTCTACCAACAAACACATTAAGACTGTAACCTCACATTCCTACCAGGAACTGTGTTAACCTAACCAATACTTAAACAGCAGCCCCTCCATGCCCCATCATTTTCTAGGATTTCTCTCTTCCTGTTATGCATGACAAGTCAACTTGAACCGCTTTCCATTCTCAGACCTCCTTACATAACTGGATCAGTTCTTGCCCACTTTGTTTCTCATCCTGTTTCTCTATCTCTCTTTATCTCTTTTCCCCTCGTCTGCTTAGCGTATGCTTCCACCTGCCTGCATGGTGTTAGGAGGCTGCCGGCCCGACAGATAAGATTTAAGACAAACTGTCCTTGGGATTTAAACCAGACATACTTAGCTACAAATTACTTAACCGAAAAAGAAAAGAAAAACAAATATTCTATTGAAATCACTTACTCTTCCTAACTAGACATCCCGTCAAAATGAATCTCAACAGTTTTGTTTCTATTCGTTTAACCTTTTAGCACAAAAATAGACTTGTTCAACATTTATTCATCCATGACAGCATTACACCATTGAACTATTTAAAGCCCATTAATAAAAGAAAACTTGACATATCACATGCAAACCCTGAACAGTAAAGTCTCCTTTCAGTAAAGCAATTTAGAAAACTTACATTTCCTTCATGGCTGCAACTATGTATAGAGTTCCTCTCCCTCTGCTGTTACCATTCCTCTGTACTGAATGCCTTTATGCGGACACCGGTCACAAGAAGTGAAGCTGACAGCAGGGCCCGCCCCTTTTCTAAAGACAATTAAATCCAAAGTGGAGATTGGACGCAGCCTAGCTGTGACAGACGACTCAGGTACCAACGCGGCAGACTGTACATTTCCACTTCCCACTACTCCCTGCCCACAAACATACACACAGCCAAGTGGTGGGGGGTGAGTATGTGTGACTCACACACATACTCCCACACACACACACACACACTTCTTATTCATGTCGAAGACACAGAGAACAAGTTAGAGGCTTGTCCAAGACTGGGGGTCGGCCTTGAATTATGGTCTTGTACAATTGAATAAAATGAAACTGAAGGCAGCATTGAGAGTTCAAGTGCTTCAGTGATGCAAACTCATCAGCAGTAAAATAGGAGACACTGTTTCATAACAAGTCCCTAATAACATCAACACGCCACTCTCAAGCATCTTTGTGAGAAAACTATTTTTATTCAAGCGTATGCTGTGATAAAACCTGGTATGTGGGACATTTCCAATCACTGGTCCTTCATTCTTTCATGACATGTAGTTTGTTATCTGTGAAATGTAAACGAGTACTGTATCAGTTTATAACAACTCCTAATAAGGAAATGTGTGCCTCTCTCTGCTCGTTCATGAAACTGTATAGATACCATTCACTGCTCAGAGAGCACACAATGGCTGTGCAAAGGCTGGCATGCAAGGTTCAATTAAAAACTGATACATTCCTCTGCAGGATTTGCACAGTTAAATGAGGGGGACAAGGATCAGCTGATGGCAAGCTGTCATTTGAGCACTTCACAGACACACTTTTGACACCTCTTAACTTTGCATGACGCCATTATCCATCATATTTAGTTTGCTTTCATGCCCTGTATACTATTTTTGGTTACATAACCTTTGATAGAGGCGGTCTAATCTATTATGCTTATGCGAGCGATCACATGATTTGTGTTTTGAAGGAGAAAGAAAAAAACAGTTTCATGTGGGTTATCCAGATACACACAGAGTTACCCTTATAAAGTTCAACTTTCCATACTCATAGCTTACAAAAAGCTTTAGGTATTGTTGTTGTATTGTTGAAACGGTTAAAACATTTAATATAATTTCACACTAAAATGTTCAACTATAGACTGGGAAAGACACATTTGACTAGAAATACTGGTTAAAATGATCCTATATATTAGAATCTACTCCTTATTTTGCATGGTGAACCTCAGGAAACCCCTCAAAGACACCCCCAAAGGCCCTATGACCCCGCTTTTCTTTCAGCACATGCAGCTTAAAAAGAAGGTGCAGGTCATTTGTTATCCTGCTGACCTGGTATGTATCAGTTTTTGGATTGGGTTTAAGAAAGGACAACATGAATCAATCATACACTGGACAGGTTGCAGACAGAGGAAGTGGGTTAAGTATGTCCAACTAATCACAAGATATAAGCTAGTAGTCTTAGTTCATCAGACGCCCCTTTAGCTTTGAACGTTGCATACATGAATCAATTCCTTCATTCATTGTGGGTGTGGAGGGTGAACGGGTACCTGGACTCTGAAGGAGATAATAACCACATGTATTTACCCCATACAGTACAGTATATGCCCTAAACACATCACATGGCGCTTTGAAACCGGGGCTGCTCCTGAACGCACCATAACAGACCTCCAAATAACGATCAAAGAGAAATGGGTTGCTCTGTAAACACAGGAAACCGGTTCAAAGGCCAAAGCTGGGTTTTTGTAATAATAAAAAAAATCAATGTTGCCTAAGTTGTTTTTAAAACGTGTATAAACGACAGTATTTAAGTAGGACACAGCTTCATGTCAAAGAAAAAGAACAAATGTGGACAGGAAATAAATCCGCGTACCTGATGTTTAACATCAAAACAGGACAAATTACAATTCAACGCAGCGTGGTTTTCTTAAATCAATATCTTAAAAACAGAAACAGATGTCTACTTTAGTTATTCTTGCCGTTAAAAAATGAAATAAACATTAATAGGCTATTCGTAATTTCCTGAATTGATACGTAAAGAAGATGCCGATTTACCTTTCCTCGTGGTATCAAGCTGTCTGTTGTTGTTCCTTGTTTTGTAGCCTGCGTTTTAGCACTGAGTGAAATGAGGAAATCTATTTTTCTGTGAGACCATTGTTTCTACAAGCTGGTGCGCGTTTAATATCAGTTTGAGTGGAAAATCACCAGAGTCTCCATGCATCAACTTCTTAAAGCGACAGCCTCCCTCCGTCCGCCCTACCCCTGATTCATAACAGTCTGTCACCATGTATACAGCCTATAGCTCCAGAAATAATCCATCACGTAACTCATGTGCTCATGGCACGATTGGCTTACATGCACTTGCAAAATGTGCCAAATACGTGCAAAGTACTCGCAGGCAGTACACATTTAGCAGACACGTTCAATGTCTTAAATTAAAGTAGAAGTCAATATTCCAAGAATTAGTGATGTTCCTTGTATTAATTCAAATGATCTTTTTGAGTATAGGCTACACATTTATTTGATTTTTCTCTATTTTTATTTTATATTTTTGTATTTGCTTTATTTGATCTTTTAAAATATAATAACAAGACCTATATCTTTAATATTATCTGTATTATTTTATTATTTATAAGCATGCTAGGATTTTGCATTTAATTTAGCACAACACTGCGCCTTAGTGCAGCCCCACAAAGATGCATGACTGTAGACTCTTTTAATCTTGTTTAGAATAATGTAGTTTAAACAGTCAAAGTGACTTCTCACCACTTGGCAAAATCAGCTAAATGTTATCATAAAAGATTGTTGTGTTAGTGTGGCTAAAACAGACGACTACAGATCATTGTTTATGTCTTGTGCATACACCAGTGGTTCAGTGTGGTTTATGTCTTCATCTAAGGCAATACATTCCAAACAAACAGATGACAATTGAAGCTATTTGGGGATGTATTTATAAGATATGGAGCCAGAAATTAAGACAAATAATTGATTGAACAACGTTATGAAGAAATTAAACACACAATCTCTTATCAAACTTCAAAAAGGAACGGACTGTTTATTCCTTATTTCAATGCTGTGTTTTTACGTGCACATTTCCTCATTAGCCTTCGGAGCAACATTTCATGTCAGTGTTGAAAAGCAAAGTGTGTTTCAAAGCCACCCAGCCCCCTTGAGTTTCGGTGATGGTTTCTCCTCACAGAGAACAAAAGCTCTGTCAGCAGGACAACTGCTTTCTGGTGCAGGGGGCGAAATGGCCAGGAAACAGGAAAGAGAAAACAAATTCAAGTTTGGACGCTCACGGTTTGTAACTGTGACAAAGACCAACCTTGAATCTAAAGTAGCTGAACAACTGCAGGGGAGAGAAAACTTTATCTGACTAGTATCATCAAGTTACAATAGCAGGCCAGCCCACAGAGTAAACATCCTGATCATTATGATAGAATCCTGCATGAAACATGGCTGTTTTTCAATGCTCATATGGCCATAATCATGTTTAGAGATCATGCATCTTGTCCCAAGCTATATCAGCAAAGCTCCAATCATGTACCGCCTCTTTATTGCGTCACCTCACCGCTTTGTGACTCAGCTTAAATGAGCTGAAAAGATCATGAAATGTTTATTTCAAATTTTGAAACTTTGGTTAGATTAATACATTTAAAAAAAAATACATTATGGTTGACTGATGAAAATGCCAGCTGGGAAATGTTATGTTGGAACATGCTAGTGAAGTAGGCCTTAGTAATTCAATTATCATACATTGGTGCTTGTTCTTAATTTCTTATTTCATTGTTGGTATAATTTACAAATACAAAATAAAATCTTTGATGTGAACAATGATTTCCTGCCCAAATGTTAAGAATGTAGCTAAATTGCTATTTTTGCACAAATATCTGATAATATAACTCCCTTCAGCAAGTACTACTATAATTTTGTGTACAAGTAAAGTCAACTTGTTGCAGAGAGAACCTTACACTCCGCTTTCTGCTTTGTCTCCTTGCAGCAGCTTGATGCATTGATGTCCACTGAATGTTTTATTTGAGGGAGTTTAAGGCCGGTGGTTGTTGTCCTGGATAGATTTAGCGTGTCTTTTGTTAGAGGTCCAGCTAAGGGCAGACCAGTCACATGGTCACAGTGTAATCCTGCCTCACATGCAGACGCTGTTTGTATATCTGCAGAGCTGGCTGTGATCTCTTCTGGCAACCTTGTGACTCACCTTTAATGGAGCATAACATTTCAGTGTAGCAACAAACAAGACAGACACATGGCAAAGGATAAAATTAACACTGGGACACACATTGGACAAATAAACCATTCAAAAAATGTCCTGCTGCTGCAAGATGTATTGTTCGTGTTATAAGCAAACGCATTGGCCAGATATATTTACTCAGCTTTCTTAGAGAGTCAATCGTCATTCACAAAGCTGACTAATAAGACCACTGCTCCCCTGCTTGTCTGTGTCCTGCAGCTAATACGTCAAGTGTGCATGTATGTAAGGCTTAATCCCATATTAGCTTGGCTATGTTAAGTGTAAGCATCTGACTGTCACACACTTCTAAGAGGAGCCTCCACGCAGAGCAGGGAGATAATCAGAATACCAGGTTGTGACGCTTTAAGCTTGAATTAGTATTTATTAAACTGATAGGCATCTTCAGCCTGTATATGCATGACATGTCTGTTGAAATGTGGGGGAGAGGGACTGGCTGCTCAGCCTCTCTCATTTCATGGCAATCCTTTAAAGAGATCTTCTCGGCGGGAACCTATCATTCACTTTAGCCGGCGTGTAGTCTTCGCTGTGCCATTTCTTACATAATGGCTGGCTGGATACAACACTTGCCCATGTCTTAAGTCTCTAAACCTGTATATTGAAATGTAAGAGCAGCCTTTCTTCTGTGCCGAACTTGGACTGACACTACAGTACAATACAGTATCTAGGTTTATATATGTTGTGTGAATCATACAGTATTTTTTTACATGTTTAAGTGTATCCGTAGAAATATAAAAGTGGGGTATAGGACGGAGTGGGGGAGTTGGAAAATGAGCTAGAGCTGTTCAGGTCAGTCTCTGGCTAAGTATGGGTTTACGACTCTCTCTCTCTCTCTCTCAGGTGGTAATCCCCAACTACTAACAAATTAGGATATTGGCGGTGACAGCCGCAGTGAGTTATGTCTTCTGTTTCCTGGGAGGACATATAAATACTCAGGGACAAGGTCGCAAATGTGCAGTGCTATCATAAATCATCACCTTTAAGACAGATGTTGTACTAAGACTCAACTTTATAAATTGTAGAATAAATAAATGTAAACATGGTCAACGTAGGTATATGCTCCTAGGAAACACAAGAGATTATAGATCCACAAATGGTAGAAGTATTCAGGCCCTTGGTTTACTTCATTTCAAAATTATATACACTCATGTAAATACAGTATATTGTGACAGTTTTTCTGTGTTTTATTTTTATTTATGAATCATGATTGTATTTCGTGGCATTTTCAGTAAAAAAAAAATTGTATTTATTTTTGTATTAGTCTGACACCTAAGTAAAATGTTTCTGTACTTCTCTTGCAAATGCTGTAACAAAATTACGAACTTTAGCTATTAAATAAAGGCACGGCGGATGACTTTACTAAATGGAGTAACAACTACAATACAAACATCTGAAAAGCAGTGAGGTATAGTAGAAGCAGCATCAAATGGAATAACGATTGAATATAAAATAGTTGAATTAATATAACTACTAACACATCTTACTTGCATCATGTTATTGGCTTTATGTTGGCCCACCTGCAGTCTTCTCCATCTGTTCCAAATGTAAATAATCCTACATGTGAGCCACATATAGAAGAATGTCATGGTTGAGATGAGCATGTTTGTTCCAGGAAGGAAGTCAGACAGATGGTATGAGTTACTTAGCCCTGCATGTTTTGTACGTATACGTCATATGTCCTCAGCACTTGAAATAAACCTTTCAATGACACAGCAAAACCTAAAAAAAAGGAAACCACCTCAACAAGTTTGAATGGATGACCAAATACAATTAGAATTTTTTTTTTTTTTAAACAGCAGAACCATAGAGTGTTATAGTGCACATTCAGGAATCAAACCAACTCCAGACATATTATAACCTTTAATATTAGAAGTTTAAAGGAATAGGTTCTACAATTGAACAGAATATTTTTGCCCTTGCAGATTCCTGTATAAGGAGACGAGAGTCACAGTGAAGTCTCAATGAGTGACACAGTGACATGAGTCAAGAGCAGAGAGATATACTCTCTTCAGGATGTTTTGGAATTTGTTCCATGCAAAAACAGATAAAAGTCCTCAGTGTAAATACATGTTTAAGGAATGCAGATGACACACAACAGAGATAGGAATCATGACTCAGAAAAAAAGGAAAATTATAGTTTTAGTAAGTCACTATGTAAGTCATTGTCCCAGCAGTAATACAATATTCAGAGTGCAGGCATGTCAGTATGTTGCAAATAATCTAAAGAGGAAATGTTTATTTGAACTACATTTAGGTGTCTGGTGTGTGACATCAAAACATGTAAAAGACAATCATAATGTCAGCGTCATACTAGCAGAGAACAAATAATTATCCATAAATCATTGTCTGCCAGTAATGTTAGATGTGTATCAGGAGAGGGCTTCCAGTGTGAACTATTCAAGACAATAGTCTTAGACAGGGCAAAGGGACAAGGGACAATCTGATTAACTGCTTGAGAGGCTGCAAATAATGTTTTTGGCACTGTGTTAAGAAAAAACTGACTATAAGATTTAGGTCTTAGTCATGTTAACTGACAACAAATCAGTTGTGCAATCAAGTCACGGAAAACAAGATCATAAATTTAGAAGATTGACATGTCAGTAATTACCAACCATCCTGAAGGTGACATTACTGGGTGTACAACATTTAATTCAATAGCTGTTAAGACATTTCACTTGTGATTCATCCTCTGGCAACTATGTTGAGTTGATACTTTAAGAATTT